GAAGCAACCAATATTTAGGGACAACCATCATATCCATGCAACCATTGGTCGTATGTTTCGAGGCAACCGATATTTAGGAACTCCATTGGTTGGCCAATTATTTCGAGAGAACTGATATTTAGGGACTACCACCGTCGAGGATACCATTGGTTCCTTTTTCCGAGGCAACTAATATTTAAGGATGACCAATATATTAAGGCAACTTGGTACAATTATTTCGAGGGAACCAATATTTAGGGACAACCATCATATCCGTGCAACCATTGGTCGTATCGTACGTTTCGAGGCAACCAATATTTAAGAACTTACATAACCATGGCAACAATTAACCCAATTATTTTGAGAGAACTAATATTTAGGGACTATCACCATCAAGGAAACCATTGGTTCCTCTTTTCCGAGGCAACTAATATTTAAGGACAACCGATATATTAAGGCAACTTGGTACAATTATTTCGAGGGATCCAATATTTAGGTTCATTTGACCTATCGTTGCAACCATTTCTCGTTTATTTTGAGGCAAGACCAATATGTAGGGACAACCAACTTACGAGGCAACTATACTAACAGTTTCATCTCCTGGGCAAAATCAATTCCATCGTTGCTCTCAGAATCCCAAAGCATGACCAAAACAATCCTTCTAAATTCGAAAGAAGATATTCAACTACTAAATCTGAAATTACCAAAAACAATTTTAGGGAGAAGACACATCAACAGAGAGCATTGCTATTCTACCCCAATTTATAACAGATCATGAGATCGTTTGAAAGAAAGACGCCTTGAAAATAAAAGGACGAAAAAATCGATCGCGGAAAAATACCGAATAAACCCCATCAAAAAGTTTCGGATCGATACACCCTACCGAATTAAACTTAAATCCACCAACAAATTCACGATGCCTTCAAATATTCTCTATATCCCCCGTTCGAACTACTTATGCAATCACTCATAAATCAACCAAACAAAGATAGGATAACCGACGGACTACACCCCAATATGCATCGAGAAACGCAGCGATAAGAGTGAATGGGTGAAAGTACCTTAAAAAACAGAAGATCGCGGGATAAAAAACCCTAGGCGTAAGAGTCGGACGCCGAGGATCGATGAGGAGTCGAATCGAAATCGGAATCGGAGATTTGACAAACGGGGACACGATCGAAATCGGAAAAAGAAGAAGAAAGAAAAGGGATGAGACTGGGAGAGAAAAGGCGGGACGCAAACCCTAATCTTTTATACTTTCCCTGATCTGATCGTTACTAGGCTCTCTCTCTCGATTTTCCAATTTTGCCCCTGCAGCTTCCCGCGCACTACAAAGTTGTTGTTTGTTAATAATAATAATAATAAAACTTATACAACTCCAGCGGCTCTCATTCAACGGCTATTTCATTTTTTCTTTCTGTAAATTAGTCACTTGTCGGCGCCTCTTCAATGTATTCATATATATATATATTTGACTTTTTTAATTTACCACTAACTAAAATTTGTTCTTTTCTTTTTCCTTTTCTCATTTTTTTTAATTTTCATTTTCACATTTGCCCACCTCCTCGATGGTCCACAAAAGATTCAGGGCGACTCCATCGCGTATAAAAAATTCTGGAAACAATAAAATTGTCAATAAACAAAATTAAATTTGTTATCATTCAAATAGTAATTAATTAAAATAAATTAATTTGAAATTGAGGATCATAAATCAAATCTAGATTAATTATTAGTTAGTGCATGTGGAATCACTTTATGAAATTGAGAACTTGATATTTTTCCTACTATGTTTCTTGGTTATAAAATGAATCTTATAAGTACAGTGTCCATAAAAAAACCAACCGAAATAACCATTTTAAGAAAAATAATAAAATATATAAAGAAATTGAGAATCTAATAATTGAATACACAAAATAAAATAAATAACCGCCTAAGCGAGCATAGCTCAGCGGTAATTAACATATACCTCCAACCATGAAATTGCAAGTTCGACCTCCATCCCTACATGTTCTACTAAAAAAAGAAAAATAAATAAAATAAAATAAAGAACAATTCATAGTCAGTCAAGTGGAAAATAAGCATATATGCAAAAATTTGTAGGCATAGACTTATTAATTTAATAATAATTCCGAACAATAATCAGGCGAAAATAAAATAAGTACGGTTGCATGCACATTCAAAATAAGTTGATTTTGATTTATGTTTTTTTTTTTCATTTTAGTGTATAAATTAGTTAAACGTCCATTTTGATTATTATATTTTAAAAAATAATTATTTTAATATCATTAACAAAAGTTACCCACAACATTTATATACGATGGAAATTCTTTTATACACAAAGTTTAAGGAGTAAAATATAATGTTTAATTTTTGATAGAAATAAACAAGATAAAAAAGAAAATAAAGAACCCTAAATACAGCCTTTAAATATACAAGAATATTTTGAGAGTATAACACAATTTCTTTAATATTTTACTCAAATAATCATGGACTATAAAGACTAAAAATAAGTTAATATAGAAATTATTACTTGTATGTACATTTCTATTCACAAAATAACAAATTTTCAATTAAATATATACAAAAATAAAGACAAAAACTTAGAAAAAATTACAGGCATAAATTAAAAATATAAGGATTAATATAACCCACCCAAGTCATTCCTAAAATGATAGTTATATTTTATATGTTTTATGATAACATAAAATGTTAGACTTAGCTCATTATATAATGTGTAAAATATCGTGCGACATAACAACTGATACAATATCTGAGGAAAATCTAGGTTTAGAGTTATGTTTTCCTGTTGTTTCTTATCTTTCAGACTGGGCGAATGTTTGGGTCTCTTTCTTTAATTGTAGTCTTTATTATTATTATTTTTTCTTTTGAACTCTGTTTTAGGCCCAATTATTTTGCAACCCTAGTTTAAGCTGCAGATAAAGATGGATGAAGCAATTTTTATTTTGGAAAAGAAATATTACAAAGCATCGGCATTTTTCCTCCATATTTGTCATTTTTTATTCCAATCAAACTTAAATGAAGTCACTCAAGCAAAACTTATAGCTAGTATTTAATTAACCATAAAAGTAAAACTACTCCATGTCATTTATAGATTATCACCTCAATCAAATGAACCAATAAAAACCCAAAAGTTATCTATACAAAACGAGGTGGCCATAGACAAAGTCTTCCTTCGTGATAACTTTTCCGAATTTGCTTTCTTCAATCAGTCATATTTGATTTGTAGTTGGTAGCAACATGAGAACCAACTAGTCCTGCAGTAATCTTACAACGAACATAAGTTTTTCCTATGAATTGCAGACAGGTCTTCTCTTGTTGTTCCATTCCTTCTTACTTGACTTATGGGTCAATAAGTCTATTATTCCTTGCATCATAGGTATTGATCTATTTTGAGAGATCCTAATTGTCATAGTTCCGTTGCATCACAAGGAGAAATTTTGAGGAATAGCCATTTTAAAACAATCATTTTGGGCTAAATACATATGTTCATCTTTTAAGTTTGGTTGTTTTTTTAATTTAATCCCCTATAGCCAATTAAACATAACTTGATGGTTAATGCGTCTTTGTCTTTTTTTTTTCTTCTTCTCAGGTAGTACATTTTTTGTACTAAAAAAAATACTCTTATATTTTAATAATTTTCAATTATGTCATTTTCGTTGTAATTTACAACAGACTAACGACTCTTACGCTAGCCTTTATTAATTACAAATGAACCAGTAGCTTTTTAAACTAATTACAACATATTTAACTAATGGTTTATCTTCACACCCCCATCATGCTTACTATCACTACTTATTTCGATTTTTACCAGTAGTTTTAACTATAACCTCAGCTTTATTTATTGATCTGAACAGCAGCAACAGAGACATTGAGTTTGGTACAAATTCGATGAAAAGAAAATAAAGAGAGAGGATTTGTAAAGATATCTGCTAGTTGAGTAAAAACAAGTAGAAAATTGACGGCAAGACGTTTCTAGAGAATCAAATCACGAATGAAATACATGTCCAATTCATCGTGCTTGGTGTGAGAATGTAAGACATGATTGACACTTAGATGCACATCACCAAGATTATCGCACCATAATATTGGGGTGAAGTAAAGACAATCTAAAGTTCATGGAGAAGAGTTTGTAACCAAATAAGTACAGTAAAAGTATGAGCTATACTACGAAACTCTGTTTCTGTACTCAAACAAGTCATATTGTCTTACTTTTTAGAATACCACGAAACGAGATTGTCACCTAAGAAGATGTAAAAACCGGTGGTGGATTTGCGATCATCTGGATCAAATGCCCAATCAGCATCAGCATAGCCGTAGAAACGAAGTTCCAAAGGGCGGTTGAGATGCAAGCCTGAAGAAAAGGAGCCTTGGCTTCAAGATACTTAAGAATCCTTTTAACAGGGACAGGTGTCGGAGAGTGCATTAATTGAAAGAATTTTGAAAAATTACGTTATGTGGCTCCAATTGGTATGTAATATAGTTAAAAATTGCGTCCAATATACGCGATTTTGGCGAAAACTGTCCACAGTGAACACGATTTAAGAGGAAATCACGCCCAATTGAATAAGATTTAGGGAAAAATCGCATCGAACGCAATTTAGTTTCAAAACTACATTACATTTTGTTAATTATTTTTCAAAAATACATTATTTCTAAGGAAAAGCAAGGGCCTGTGGTAATGGCAATTTGCCATTTTTTTTTAGGTTCCGAATTCAGTATTCATAATTCAGAAATCAAATCAGTCTTGGTTTTAAATATTGATATCGATGGAAATATCGAGGTTCAATTTCGTGGAAATATCGATAAAATATCAATGTTTATGGATATTTCTGTAAAAGTTAGAAAATCATAAAAAAAATTTAAATTAATAAAATAAACATTTTCCTATTTCTAAATTAGTTAAAAATAATTAATATTAATATTATGTATATATTGGTGACATTTTGATGATATTTTTCATTTTTTTTTATGGAAATGTGATTTATCACGGAAACATAGATATGTCGTWAAAAATATCGACGTGTCGAAGATATTTAGAACCCTGATCTCATCAGATCTTGCGGCTTTATATTATGTTTAAATTTATAAAGAAAAAAAAAAGATTTCCTATGTGTCAGCGGAGCAGACGATCCCCCCACCACAAAATTTTACTACTTCTTTTTTGTTTAACTTATTATTATTATATAATTTTAAATTAAACCAATCAAGTCAAACCAAACCGTGTGTTTTTTCAAGGGGTCAAAGAGATTGTCTTCCGTTCGCTTTAATCGCGCCTCCAAAATGTGTATCTGTTACGTCATGTATATTCTTTTATTCCTTTTACACCTCATTGACAATTATTTAAATCTTTTAAATCTAAGTATTAGATATCTGTCAACATTTTTATTTGATATTTTCCATGAGTTTTACTAAATTAATATTTTCAATAGTATGGTAGAAAGATCACTAAAATATGAAAAATATCAACAAAATATCACTAATATGACATAATATTAATATTAATAATTCTTAATTTATTTAGAAATTTTAAAGTCTTTGTTGGATAATTTAAATACTTTTACGATTTTCTAATTTATATAATATTTTCAAAAATATCTATCGACATTGACATTTTCATATATTGAGATATCGACATTCAACATTTAGAACTTTGTTTGGATCTAATTCTTTCAATTAAAAGAAGTCAAATAATGATTTAAATTTTATTTCAATCTCAACTTTTTTTTATTCGAAGTTTCAACTTTTGTTCACTTTTAAGTCTTTGTACTATCAAAACATCTGTTTTGATTTCCGTACTTTTAAAAAGTTTGATCATTTTTATAAAATTTTAACGCGAGTTTTACACACAATGAAAATTTTTTAATACAAATTTATAGTTATATTTCAAGAAATTAAGCGTATCATATTAAAATTATGATCGAAAGAAATGAGATAAAAATAAAAATAAAAGAACCAATATGATCCCTTATTAAAAGTACATGGATCAAATAGACGTTTTAAAAATATATGAGCTAAAGATGAAGAAAAATTAAATTTACAGAAACTAAAATTGATATTTTGAAAATTTAGGGACCAAAATTAACCAAAATCGAAGGTAGATGTACTGAAATAATATTTAAACCTTAAATATGATAATTTATCTGAAATTCTAAACATAGTTAAAGTTAAAGTAGGTTAAGTATCTAGTCTCTTTATAAATGTGGTTTTAGTTACAATATTGTGTTGCGTCTCTTTGTAAACGTGGTTTTAGTTACAATATTGTAGGGCAATATTATAGGGCGAAAATTTAAATTCACGATCTTTAGATGAATATCTTAATCGTTGAATTATATTTAAATTGACGATTTTGTCATAATTATATGTTAGTATAAAATTTATACGTAGATAGATGATGCCTTTCTACTTTTGGTAGCAACTTGTCAATTAAGTTTCTTTTCCATTATTAATTTTTCTTATAATTTGTTTTCCGAAAAAAGCGAGTTTGGTGCAAACTCAACCTCGTAGATTAGACTTCTAATTTAGATGAGGATAAGATTTTCCATTCAGAGTCTCCCACAGTATTTTGCTATGCGCTAAACATCCAATAATTATAAATCATCATATCAAAAAATAGCCTAATCATAAAGTTCAAGTTTGACCTATGAACTTTTGTGCATTTATTTTACTTTCTTTTATTTTGGTACCATGAATTTGCATTAAAAGAAAACAAAAATTTTGTTACACCAAGTTGTAAAAAATATGATAAAAAATAAATTGATAGGTCAAATAGAATATCTAAATCAGAAATTTTAACTTTTTTTTTTCTAATACAACAACATATGGGATCGAGATTTGAACTTATTACCTTTGGGTCGAAGATAGTCCTGACCAATTGAGCTAAACTCAAAGCGAGAAATCATAAATTTTAAATTTGTTAGAATAAACTTAGCTTAATATTTGACCTTCTATCCTTTTTAAGCCTAACTTTTATTTGGTACTATGAATTTGCTCAAATTCTAATAGAGAGAGATATTATGATCTGTCATCAATATCAAGGTTCCTTTTTCTTTTTGTTTTTCCTTCTTTTGCCACTCTTCTCTCCAATACCTTCGAGGAGTTATTCAAAATGATCACCTTCTTAATCTGAAAGCAAGCTTGAAAAGTAATTAACATACATGCATGATTAAACAAAATTCTTAATGCATGCTTACAATTACCTTTTCTAATTAAATTAATCTTATTTTCAAATTTCCATTACGATATTTGTGTTGTATAATTATTGATGCACAATTCTGATTATAATGATACGTCCACAAGTGAGCTGCGAGGTGGACGAGCTAATCACCGATGCGATACTCGATAACATACACTTTGTAGCTTTAAGTTAGTACTTAGTCTAAGTTTGCGTCGAAAATTAGTCTACCTTTCGAGTGTGCTATGCTAGTCTACTTTGTCTAACAAGTATCGAACTGACGTCGAACTACTTGTTCTCAAACGAATGGTGTACCTGTGGTATACCAGAATAATTAATCCACCAATTAACAACAGTCTTTCTAATTGCATTCAGTTAATTTTTTTTAATTTCCTTTTTATAATTATGATGGAAATTTCAACTTCTGCCGAACAATTTGTCCCCTTTTGACAGCTTTCTTTCACACTTCTATTTCTTTTTTCCCCCTTAAATGTTGACTTCTGAAACTAATTAACACTAATTATAAGTAAACACACTTATTATAATGTTGTCATTTTTTCTTGTATAAACATTAAAATCATTATTTTGGCTGACCATGTATATAATTAAAGGGTTGTTTAGGTACTGTAATTTGGTTGTACAATGAACCCCACATTTGCCCAACTTTTGTACCAAACAAGACTTTTGAGGTAGGGCAGCATGAATAAACAAACTTCAAAAACTACCAGAAACCCATTTTTATATATATTTTGAAACATATTTAAGTAAATAGCTGGGTTCAATTAACAGTTCATTTTGCATTATTTTTTAGCTTGGATAATAATAAATAGAAATTGTAAAATTCTACATCGGCCGGGACGTCCAATTTTGATTTATGATGAAGAATTTTTGAGATAGTGACGGGAGTGCATTTTCTACTTTGACTTAATATATATAACATAGAAAACTAAAGAAAAATAATCTTTGTCATTAAAAAAATGACAAAAAGTTGACCACAAATATAACGTAATTGACTCAAAAAAAAGAGAGAAGAAAAAATATATATTTACCGTAATTATAAATTAGAAATTAAAAAATATGTTGGAGCTCGAAATTGCTGAGCTCAGATGTAACGTAGATCGGAACGTTTAGGATGAACTACGGCCAACGATCCAACGCCTTCCCAGAACACTCTTGAGACCTGCAAAACAAAGTTAGCACTCCGACGAACAAGTCAGTTCTGGGCCGAGCTAACTTGTCGAATCTATCTAGGATTGCGTACGTTRCATTTAAGGCTAAGATTTCTATTTATAGAAACTGGGCCGACAGGAACTCTGACACACCCTAAACATACGGCGTGTTGTCGAGTTCGGAAGAGACAGGTTTACGGACTCCGTTCAGGTCGGCTCGTCCTTTTAGCGCGGTCCGTAACCGCTGACCTGAACAATCTTAGGAAAATTTCTAATTTCATCTGCACGTCAAATCGACTTACCTCTTTGATTATGACACGTGGCAGGTCCAAATTCGCATCCAACAAAGTAAATGGAAAACAATCTCCTACTAACCAGGGAGGTTTTCTTTTTCTTTCTTTTTTTTTTCTATAAATAAATAACTATCAAAATTTTTAGTAATAAAAAAATATTATTCAAAATCAACATTGGTGAATGGAGCAACAATGCCTCTAAAGCTAATTGAGTGATTGGTATATGCTTATCATTTCTTTGAAATTCTTTGAATATCTCTTAGGTCAATATTAATCAATTACGTTAATCTATTGGATGAGGTCAATATCAATGAATTATGTAATATTAATCAATTACAAAGCTGTTTGTTTGTTTTTTGTGGGGTCTTTCACATTACCAAAAGAAAATACATTGAATGGCTCGAGACCTAATGTGTTACCCCAAGGTTAGGCGACCTAAATCTTCATCTTCATGACTGATAAAGTTTAATCAAGTACTGGTTGCAAAGCATGTTTGGCGTATTATTCAAAATCGAAAACTCTTAGTAACTAAGGTTTTGAAAGCCAAATACTCTCCCGATTCTACTTTTTTAGAAGCTACTATGAGTCTACTTCCTATTTAAATAAGTTTTCTTTGGAGACGAGATCAATGGTAGTTCCACCAAAGTTTTCAAAGACAAACTACTCTTAAACTTAATTTCTAATTCTTTGATAAAGTGAAGTGGAAGTGAAAGCCTATATAGGAGTGTTGGGATGTACAACACTGTTAAAGATTCTACGTTAAAAAGAAAAGAGACCTTACAATGGTTTATAATAGACATGAACTATTCCTTTGCCAATTAGTTTTGAGACGAAACCTCGTAAATATTAACAAAAGCAACTGGTTTTTCTATTTCATACATACATACGTAGAGTAAGATCTTTGAATATAATGATATGACTAAAACTCCCCATCAAGTTTTTGCTCTGATTTATGGCTTCAATATTTTCCATGATAGATAGAGAAGATTATTGAGTGAGTTAGACTTTCCATTATAGTCCACTTGAAATTTTAAAGCTAAATAAAAGTTCTCTTTTTAGCCTTAAAAAAATGATCAACTGCGTAAATTCAACTATTGGACATGAATTTATTATTAATAGTTTCTTTAAATAAAAAATACTATACTTGTAAGTTGTAACTACTTTTTAAAAAAATATCACCAGTCAAGTAAGAGAATTGGTAGACTATAGAAAAAGAATTATTATTATTTTCTTTTTCTAGAAAGGAAAAAAATATCATATTTCTTTTCCTTTGGAATTCTTTTTAATCCGTAGACTTCTAATTTAAAATTAAGGCACTTTAATATTATACAAGTAGAGTTGTCAATCAGTAGACTAACTAATTTATGGATTAATTGATTGAAATGATTTAAATAGAAATTAATTAATTTTTTAAAAAATTCTTGACAAAGTCCTTAAAGGATAGTTTGAATGGCTTGGGCCTCAATGAATAACGGATGTAATTTTCACCAAGCGGTGACTGTTTGCATATGTACGAGTATAGAGAATTAACGACATTAATAATGAAAAATTGTGAATTAGAGCATAATTCAGGGAGTGAAGACACATGTATCCAATCACGAAATTGAGAGTTCGAATCTCCCCACCCCATACATTGTAGTAAAAAAATAATGAAGAATTAAAATTGAAGTATGTATGTAGCAATCTTAAATTATGTTGTTTAATTAACAATCATGATTTTTTGTTGGTACAACAATTAACAATCATGATTAATTATCATAAATTAAAAAAAAATACACAAAATCCAGCGAATCAAACTCCTCTCAAGTCTCAACAACTTTAGCTACCACCATCTTTACATCTTAATTATCCGACATGTCGACCGCCGCGACCGCCGATCAGCAAGTATAGAAATCGACGAGCTCCTCCATCGACCCCAATTGCGTGGCTGCATTCTCTAACATCCACAACAAATGCTCAAACATAACCACCTCGCAAGAAACCACAATCGCGCTGTCGTCGTCGTTAGACGATTTGTCAACCAGCTCCTGAAACAGAGGGTGTGCTACGACATCTGAACTGATAAGATATCGCCGCCGTGACTTGCCAACATAGACCGTGTGAAGCTCCTTCGAGTTGCTTTCGCGGATATTGGTAGCATCGGTCACGGCGACGACCGACACGGAGCTGGAACTCCGACCGAGCTTGCCAATCGAGGGCCATCTTTTAATGGCAGACTTGAGCTTGGTGAGGGTTCCGGCTCTGACCATGGCTGCAAAGTTTTGTAGAGAGAGAAAGAGATGAGAGAGAGAGAGAGCTAATTTAGAATTGAGGCTGAGGGAAAGAGAAGGGGAAGCTTCGTATATAAAACGATGGATTGTAGAAGAGGGCAAGGTCTATACGTGCATGGCCCACGTCTTGTTAAAGAAAGATATTTGGTGATATAAAACGCCAAAATATCATATGATAAAAATAATAATAAAATAAAAATTCTCTAGAATTTATTTCAAAATTTTTATCCCAAAACATTCCCTAATAATTATATATATTTATATAATTACAATCAAGACATGATCATAAGAGTGCGTACCAGGTTTTGACGCGTGCAATTTGAATGCTCACCAACTCAGTTAATAACTAAACGGAAATTCTATAATTTTCTTTAATTATATTAACTAACCGATTTGGTTATTAATTTTTCATAAAGTGACTGCTCATAAAACTTATACAGCGAATGAATGGCAAATGTTTATAATTTCAGTATCTTCTCTTTATTGTTCAGTCTATAACTTAATTAGATTTCTCAAAATGTTACCATAGTTATTAATTATTAAAAATTCTTTTGTATGACAGAGAGAGCATTTCTCCCATACGACAACATTTAGGAGTAGGGATTCTCATGTATAACCTTTTAATTGGAGATATATTTCTTAACCATTTAAATTTGGTTCAATTAACTTAGTACATCGAAAAAAATGTATAAATGAGATATAAAAACTTTTTTTTTTAGAGTGGGAAAATAGGTGGAAAATTGAAAAGGGATAGGTGGTGATGGAAAATGCCAGAGAAGACCCAGTTGTCGTTTTGAAGGGTATTATTAACAATTTCAATATTAAGGGGTTTATATAATAATTATTATTATATTATACGCCAACAACAAATATTTAAGCATATCAAAATGTCAGAAAAAGGAATCGTGCAAAAAAGAAAGAGTTAATACCAACAAAGAAACAGAAGTTAAATCAAAAGCTGTTGGTTGGTAATCTGCCAATGCCATCCAGCTTCAAAAATTCTTCTTTCATTCAAAAGGAAAAGTATGGCAAAAAAAAACAAACAAACTTGATTACCTTTTAATTTTTAGAAAATTAATTTTGGGTTCACTTAATGTTCTCTGCCTCCTCAACTTTACATTTTTCCAACCAAACATCTTTCAAATCCATGTCGTTTTATCTTGTCTTTCGTCAAGTTTACCGCTGAGAGATTAGTAGGATAATATTTTTGTTAACCCTATGAGTGCAAGTCAAAACCGAAACGATCCTTAGTTGTTGTTGGTTCCATAGTTTGATTTTTATCCTGGTTATATTGTCATGACTCATGACCACTTAAGAACCTTCTAAGACTTGCATTTGTGACCATGAAAAATTTAAGTTGAAATAATAGAAAAAACAAAATCATAGATTAAGACACCTATGTCTGAACAGGCTAAGGGGTCGTGGGTTCGAATTCCCCATCTCAAGCCCCTATCATTTCAGCCGGTTTGAAATATCTTCCTTGGTTGATGAATTTTATCTACTTCGGTCAATTCTTGTCAACTTCATTCAATGCGGTTGACCTTGTCAATTTAGTTACAAGAAAGAAAAAAACTAGTTCAACACAAATATTTTCCATTGTCAAATTGACACAAAAAAAAAATGAAAACAAAGAATTTATAGCCAATAATATTGTATTCTATGTCTTTCCTGTTTTTAATAATTTGGCAGCAAATTTAAAATCTGAAAAACACCAAATCTTATTTACAATTTTGCATTTTAAGCAACAAAATCCAAATCCTATTTTTAGAAATAAATTCCAATAAGATACCAAACAGGATCTGTTTTTCCTTTGGCAATAAAATCACTGACAAGTTGATAAGGTTTCAGTTCCAGTGTCAGTTCTAAATGTTAAAAAAAAAAATCTCACCTCCATAGCTAATCATAGAGAGCCCTTGTCAGCAGTGAGAGCAAAGTTTTCTTTTTCTTTCTTTTCACACCAACACAAAAGATTGGTGGGTCCAAATAGGGAAGACAGGGAAAAGGACAAAACCAGAGAACTTGAATGGATCTAAGACAAGTTGGTTTCCAACATATAATGTGATTGTTCTGCCACCCTTTTTTTGTTTTCCTTGCAAGCTTTTCTATTGATTTCTTTCTAACTAAAAGCCTCTTCATCCTTATTCTGTGTTTGGTGAAGACACTTTACAGCTCGTTCCTGAGAATAGATTCGATCGTTTCGGTTCAATCATTGAACTAATCATTCATCATACTGAAACAAAATCTTTCTCGTCAAGATATTGAACCCATAATGAGAGATTGCTGCTCAGAATCTTGTGATCAATCAATCAAGAACATGAGATTCATGAACTTGATGAAAACAAACAAAAACTTCTCCATGTTGAAGATATGGAGTGTGTAATATTCTAATCTTTAGGATGTGCACAGAAGTTGAGACAAAGTGGCTAAGATTTAATAAAGGAATCACAGCAGACAACATATAATTGTGAAGGAGAATTGTTTGGCAAACCTGATGTCAAAAGACAAAACTCACATGGCGATGCTGGTTCTCGTGTTGATCTGAGCCGAAAACCGAACATAAAGAATTGCTGATTTTCTATATGACTTGTAGTTACCAACCAAACCCAAAAAGGACAGTTCTAATCATAAATTTTCTAATGCAGGTTTGGTGGGGTATCAATTGTTTTTCGTAGGGGAGGGGGGGCCTCTGATTTTGTAATGTTAGGTACTACCTACTCACGAGAGCCTCGCTTCCTCTTCCTCGTCTTTGAATTCGACTTCGACTTCTTAGTAGTAGACTTCTTTTTTTGAACACCATCCTTATCTATTAGGTGCTCATAATCTTCAAGGCTTGCGAAGGGGGATGCTTTTGTTTTCCTCTCTTTTTTAGGTTCATCGTCCGAATCATGTCCTAAGTTGTCATCATCGTTGTCACTAAGCATTTCATCGCTGCTAGAACCTAAACCTTCAGCTTGAACATCTATCTCCTCGTCACTCATATTACCAACCAAGTCTTCATCGTCTTCATGGGCAACTTGATCCAAGTCATCATAGTCATAGTTGCCATCTGCTTCACCTGAAGGATCAGCAGAATCCAACAAACCCTCAATCTCTTCATTGTCACTCTCGTCCACACCAACCATCTCAGTGTCGGACAGATCGTCGGCAGCCTCGTCATTGTTGTCCACCTCACCAAACAACTCTTCAGCAGCTTCCTCATCTGCTCCTTTCTTCTTCTTCTTCTTCTTCTTTGATTTCTTCGAGGAATTCATTTTGAATGTATAGAACTTGTGGAACACAAGATCTTCTGGGGGCACATCTTCTTCAGCCAACGATAAGATTTCAGGTCCAATTAAATGGTTGTTCATATCAAGCTGAGGGAAACAAACACGAGTCAGCTACCCAATTCTAATAGCATTCTACAACAAGTCGCTAAGCAAAATATTGTGTGCAAGGAAAGTCAATTATTGGGCACCTTCTTGGCAGGTTCAATTTGGGAACCGCCATGCCATGTGCTTGGTTTTGGTTTCTTCTCCATGAACTTGTCCAAGAAAGCAGTAAGTGACAAGTCATTAAGCGGGTTCCCGTTGTAGACAATATTAGCACCAGAGAGAAGTGTTCTTGCCATGGTAGCAACTGATGGGTGCAGATGAGAAGCTAATACTACAAGCTCCCACCAGCTAGCATGATCTGCATTACTGGTGGTAGTTCATTAAGAATTAACAACTGAAAATCGACACTTGGGAAGAAAGAACAAAGAATTAGAAGCAAACACAGTAGAAAGCAGTAGCGGCTTGTTGCTTTTTGAGTCCTATGGAAGCTAATATATGTTACTTGATGAATTAGCTTGTTATTAACCACTTACCAATCAGATTCAACTATATACTAAACTTAAAATTCAATGTCATGATTAGAAACTGCTCAAGGAAGTTCGAGAAAGAAAATTACCAGTAACTCGGCTCTCTGTGCCGCGGATTATATCCTCCAGGGAGCAACAGCTCCTTACAAGTCGTTTGAGGTTGCTGCCCATTTTCCAAATATTTTGTTACGGAAGGTTCCTCGGCATCTTTTTCATCATATCTCATGAGCAACTCCCCATCATTATCTGAAATATCATCTTCAGAACGAGACATGGGAGAATCATCCTCTTCTTCAGGAGAATCACTGTCGGATGTAGCAGCATCACTGCCTTGAGCAAGTTGAGGATCATCTTTATTTTCTCTTCGTTTGGTGCTTGGTTCATTGATATTTTCTTCTTCTACTATATCTTCAAAATGTTCATCTTCTTCGTCCACTGACTCGTTCTGGAGCACCATATTCCTATAATATACAAAACACACAAATATAATGGACTACACAACTCAACCATAGAATCACCAAAACATTGGTGCTTGAGTAAGAACCACGTTACCATAATGGCGGCCTTGCTTTAAGAACTTCAGAAAGGAGAAATAGGCATCCACAGGCATATTGAGGTGGCTGTTGAAGAGCAACCTGTTCATAGATTTGAAAGAAATTACACAAGAATTCAAAACTTTTAAGAGCAAAATAGTATAATAAAATTAGAAGAAGGAGAGAAAGAGAATGCAAATTGCCTGCAAGATACGTTTTGCATAAGCAGCTACACGCTTCAAGTTAACATCACTCTTCATTGCTCTCAAAAGAAGTCCAATAAACATTTCTGCCTGCAAATAGTCAAATAAACAATTTATTCAAACTCGGATGCTCATAGAAAATATTAGCACATAAATTACGATTATGATGGAGAATTCAACATTTCTAAGGAATTATTAAGTGTTTGCCTTTGAAGAGTTCATAGCGGCTGGAAGTAATAATTTTGAGTACAATGCACGATAGAAGCGATCACTGACAACTTGATTCTTGGATGATACTTTATCGAGAAGCATAAATCCTTGAACAGCCACATTGAAATTCTTTGAATGAACCTGAAATTGTAGACGTTTACCGAAACTTGAGAACTTTGATAATGTAACCGTAAAAATGTTGTAACAAAATTAATGTACGCAGTTGAGCTTACTAGTTGGAAAAGCATTGGTGATTGAACCTCAATGATGTCGTCCGCCTCCTTGCTCAAGACAAAAGGGAAGGCTCTATTTACTCCCTATAAGATGACCCCATGGTGAGAAAGCTCAAAAAAAATAAATCAAACTCCCGAAAATAGGATTGAAGAAAAAAACCTTGAATCTGACTAAATAAATTAATTTATAATTTCAGAAAAGTGAACTGAATACAAACTGTTAGAAGAGCAGACAAAATCCTTGAATCCATTTCGACATGAGATTCATCTAAGGGATTTTTTTCTTTGATATCTTTTGAGGCTTTTGAAGCTTTTTTCTTGTCTTCCTCACCACTTTTTTGCTTCTTCTGATCTTCTGAAGCAACCAAAACCTGCAATCAATGCAAACAAACCATTTTATTCTACTGACCATACATTGAATCCCAAAAAATGAAATTATTATACTTGAGATCATTTGTTTAGATTGTCAGATAAGACCAACTTCAACTTTCTTTTGTCACTTGTATGCTGTATTGAATACACAGCATGTCATTATTTTCAGAATCACTCCAAATTTGAGAATGTATTCAAAATTTTTAAACACATCCACAGAAGTTTAGAGATTAAATTGAAATTGAACTGGAGAAACTAACTAACTATGGCACTACCTTAAACAAAGCAAAGTATACGTCTATCAAACGTTTGGCCACTTGTGGTCCATCTCCTTTCTGGCTGAGGCGAATTTGGCTCAAGAAATTAACCTACATACAGATAATAATAAGTAAAAATGCATATGCAATAATGATAACATGGTTTTAAATTGCATACATACAGCATGGTACTTTGCTCGTAATCCCAAGTGAGGCCGAAAAAGGAAGGAGTCCACCTCGGCAATTACCACAGCCTGCAAAAATATATTTAAAAAGAGAGAGAGAGAGGGATTATGTTATAAAGAAAGTAGTTCGAAACAATCTCAAGGAACAAGGATGATGGAAAATGAATTGATGAGGCACCGACAATGTCAAACAATATACCTTCATGTTTGGATGGTCAGACAAAAGGTTTGATAAATGATAGTCGGCACTGGAAGCTGTCTTATTTTCAGGATCACCCAACTAGAAGATTAAAATCAAACAAATATTAACAACATCAACTATTATCTAAAGATATATAAAGATTAAATACAAAAATAAAAAGAATTGAGCGTTGTTCAACTCACTTTGTTAACTAGTGCAGACAGTAGCCTGCGCTCTTGTTCGGATTTACTCTTTAGCAGCACGTAAATGGTCTAGAACAATAATGAAATGTAAACACTTTAGTTTAGTCTCACTATAAACAAACTATTCTGGAAGTTAAGTTGGATACAGATGCACGTAATTGTTTCCAAGATTGAAATGATTGAGAAGCTTATAATATGACCAAATCAATGAAGAGCAAAAAGGAGGGAAGAGATTATGTGCAATGAGAGAATCAGGAAACTAACCTTCAAGGCCTTGTTTTTAAGTGCCGGTAGCTCATCTCTCGATGCTTCCTCGAGCGCAATGACGAATCGCTCGTACCTTAACATCAGACAATAAATAAAAACCTCTCCAACAAAAGAGATTACAAAAAAAGGAACTCCAATTTCCAAAAGCTACAAAAGTAGTGTAAGAGCATTCCAGTTGGAGGTTTCAAAGACAACCATTTCATGAAAATGGAAGAGCTCTGTTTTGGAAATCATATAAATGATATAAATGATTCAAACGTGTTGCAAAAAGAGTGATAAAATTTGTATGTTATCAGTTTAGCAAACAAGAATGGGGCATTCAGCTAAGAAATACATTGAAGTGCAAAATACCTCTGCTTCAGGCATTCCTCCCAATACCAAAATAGTAATAGAGAATGACCATCTTTTGTATCAGGAAGACGATCTAATGGCCGTTGTAGTAAATTCTTCAGTTTTCGATCAGGCAACAAGCTGGTAAAAGGCGGTAAGAGGTATGATTATGGTAAGCTAATGCATAAAACTAAAAAGTCACTACACAACAGATACCACAGCTAGAAGATGCAACCTTGAGATGAACAGTTCCATCAACGCTTCAAACCCCGTTAATGAATGGCGCTTCCCAACTTTCGATGTCACCATCCCTTTACAAACCAAAAACACAGTTTTAGAACAAAATGCGGTGCAAGGCTACAATGTTTATGGGCGTTTGGGATGAGAGTTTTGAGTTCTTGAGCTCAGCTTTTGTAGACGAGCATACATTTTGTATGTGAATTTGTTTACTAAAACAATAAAATTACAATTCAAGCTTACGAACAAACAGAAACAAGAACACAGATTGAATTGATTATTCTCAAAAATTTAAAAGCCAAAACCTCAAACTTACCTAACAACGCATCAAGAGACCTCAAATTGGCGACGGGATTATCCCCCACCATGACCGAGAATGCCGAAACCTTATCAGCGGCAGTCCCTGACCTCTGCGTGGTGACCAACATTCTAATATCCCCGCTCTTCCCCCTCGAAGCCTCGTAATCCACTGCATATTGCGCCATTAGCCTCTCCCCAAGCTCCCTCTTCTTCTCTACCACTTTCTTCCACTCCTCCACGTTTTTCACTTCCATCTTCTCCCCATTTCCCAAAACCTTCGCTTCCAGTTCTGCAGCATCCACATACCACGCACCCAAAACACTGGCTTTCACTAGAGGAAGCTTCGGAAGGTTCTTGAATTTGTCAAAACTTCGCGGCTTGTCGTTGCCGTCTTCCAGAGCAAGAACAGGGGGCTTCGGCTTCGGCTGTTCCTTGGCTTTGGAATTGAGAAATTTTGGATTATGGGTTTTGTTGGCGGGTTCCTTCTGTGGAGTTCGTTTCGGGTTCTTCTGGTGTTTGATTGGCTTGAGACGGCCGTGCTTGCGGAAATCGACATCGTTGAATCCTGAAGAAGGAGTGGAAGATGCGAGGCCGAGAGAAGAAGCGAAGGACGCTATGTCGGCTTTGAGAGTGTCGATGTCGTCCACGTTGTTCGTTGAAGCTTTAGAAGCCGCCATTGTTGCAGGCGGAGGTGGAAGAGCTGGTGAAATTCTAGGCGGAGACAGGGTTTTAGCAAGTGACCAGGTCTCGGATCTGTAAACCCAGTGGATGACCCGTTTGTGGAAATTTGGGCCCACAATCGGCCCATAATCAAACCCTAAAGCCCGGAACCACGACGGCCCATTAGCTGAATGTAAAAAGCGGATGTGGTCTCGTCGGTATAACGGGAAAAGTTGGGGTTAAATTTGTAATTTCAGATAAAAACAGAGAACGTATAATAAGCGCCAAATCAGATCGCTGCTATAAATAACGCTCCGAAGGAGAAAAGCGCGGATCCCAGCCATTTTATTTGGAAGCGTTCAGGATTTCGAGAGTCCGCCATCCCAGCCAGTCATGGCGAGTGGCGATCGTCACTGCGGCTGCTGGAGTACTGCACGACGCCAACTCTCACAGAAGGAATCGGACGTTGAAAATTGAGGCGCCAAGAACTGTGACTTCGAAATGGAACGCTATGTTTTCAAGTACGGTAATGACGGTAAGATTCATTAGTTTGTTCTACTATTTTCTGGATCATTTCCATTGCGTGATCTGATTGTTTAACTTCCATGAAACCGGAATCGGAGCCGGAGGCGATTTTCGGTTATGTTTATTCTTGTTGCTTAGTTAGAGTATGGCTGAACGTACGAGCAAAAAACATCGAATGTTTGCTTATGCGTATCTCTGTTCGTAAAACTTGGATACAACGCTGATATGTCATTTGTAGTACTTTTAAAATATCTGATGGATGAATGTCGAATATCAACTGACTTGAATCACTTTCATTTCTGTATGGAATTCGAGCATCGGAATTATGTTTGCGCTAATTTTTTGAAATACTACCTGTGTACGAGTTATATTATCATTGATGATATGGAGAACTGTTTGAAACTAATTTTGTGGTTATAGAAGATCGCACGCTTGATTGCGAGTTGCTGTGATTTAGTTTAATGTAAATGAGTTCTACCACAACAGTGATGGAATTGATGGTATCGTGGCTTAATTTAGTTTTTGCGTAGAGTTCGGTCCAAGTTGCAATGAATTAACATGTTTTCTCTTTAGACACTATTAACCTTGGCAAAGCACGAGAATAGGCATTTGTTTTCGAGTTTGTGTATGTTTAATTGTGCGTTTGGTTTAATACATGTGTTTATCTAGTTTATATTTTGTTTTGTGTGTTAGTAAATATGTAGCTTGATTTATGTTGCGTAAAGGATTAGTAAATTCGTAACTCACTTATTGAATAGCTAGAAAGTTAATGAGTGAACCAAACATTCTCATGAGCATTACTACCTTCTACGAATCGATTTTGTTATATGATCATCATATGTATGCACATTTTTTTTTGTTTCTTTGAAGGGCATATGTATGCAACACCTTTATGTTGCCTTGATTGTAAACTTCACGGAATTCTTGGTTTAGAAATTTTCAACTTATTGCAGCCTCTTGAGGAGTTTACTAATTTTCAACTTATTGCTCATTTCATATTCGCTGATTTAAGTAGCAGTCTGAAGGAAATAAGCAGAACCCGAGACGTACTATTTCAAGCCTTCTGGATGTAATGCGCTTCAAGAAATCCACCATCCGATTCAGTTGTGGCGACCGCTCTGCCACTACGGTTGCTGCTCCATGCTAACCCTCACAATAGGAAGCGGGCATTCAAATGATGCTGGCCGTTGAGATTCAACTTGGTGCCAAGAACTGTCACCGCTATGAAGGTATGATTCATCACTATTTCTATTATTTTCTGGGTCTTTTCCACAGATGCGATCTTATTGTTTAAGTTCCTCAAAATCTGGAATTGAAGATGATTATAAACGAAACATAGGTAGTAAAAGGAAAATCAGTTAGTTAAAATTTAAGAAATAAAAATACCTACAGAATTGGTCTACGTAGTCCGTGAATAGTCGAGGTGCGCACAAAATGGTTCTAACACACAGATATAAAAAAAAAAAAACAGTATTGGTCTACGTGCCTTGGCAGAAGGACTGTTAACCTTCTTTGATGAAATTTGAGCAATGCAAGTTGATATGTGGATGAATTTTTGGTTTACTAACGAATTGTACTATCATTGATGCTACGCTTAACTCTTTGAAACTGTTGTTATAGTTATAGTAGGTCGCATACTTAGTTGCAAGCAGCTGTAATTTATTGTTTAAGTTTTTTTTTTTTTGGGCATAGAATTGATCTTAGTTGCAATAAATTAGCATCATTATTAGCCTTGGCGTGAAACACAAGAAAAAGAATTAATCTAAGTTGCAATAAATTAGTTCTGTGTTAATTTTGAATTAGGTATGCAATTTAAATACATGCCTCCTTGTAGTCGTCTTCGTATGGCTCTTGTGTTTTGTGTTTGTGATTTGTAAATGTGTAGGTTGAGAAATGAATTTTAAAAGTTCAGATTTATATATAAAAAAAAAAGTATTAAGATGAGTTTGCATTTTTGGTTTGTAACTTCCTCATCATTGGCAGTCCAAAGGAAAGAGAGAAAAAATTCCATGTCATTGCATTTTATGACAGCGACTTTCCTCTGCGATGAGGTTCCTGATATTAACAAAGGGGAGCATTGAACAGTATGCCTTTTGCGGCTGAAGGCGCCAGCGGCATGCTGAGGTAAACTATTCAACATTTTTTCCAGTAATAAAATTAGATTAAAAATATAACTTCAATAGGATGGCAAATAATTAAAATGATTATAAGATTTATATATATTTTTAACATATCAAGAGAATTAGAAATAAAAATTAAGTGGTACCAAAGTAAATAATACTCGTAAATCTGTTCATTTAATAATAATGGATATTAGTTAAATCAATACAAAACATTTTCTTAGTTCAAATCATTATTATAATCTAATATGATTATTAAACAACTTTATATACACTACATTTAGGTTGTATACTTTTAAGTGTTTAAAAAAAATAGTAAGATTTAAGTATATTTTTAATTAGCAAATTTTACTCAAGTATGCTTGTATTAGAAAAAAAAAAGTATGAATACATTTTTTTAACCTTCTATTGATTAGAAAAAAAAAAGCTAGACATAAATATATTATTAATSATGTAACTATATTATAATTTTTATTGAAATAAATTATTTATCTAATTATAATAACTCACTGATAAATAATGTGCAAAAAAATATTAAATTAAATTAAAATTTTGTTAAGGTTATTGCATGAACATATCAAACTATTTTGTTCAACATATTTATAGTAAATGTTTAACCTTTATAAGAATGACAAATTTGTCTATATATGACATTTGTTTTTAGAAAGTATGTTAAAGAGAAGTTCCAGATTTGATGTTTGAACTTCAGGGGTGCTTTCCAAATGAATTAAACTATAGCTAATACAAGAAAAGGATATGAAATAAAAATTATACACCTTTACAAAAAAAATAATAATAATAATAAATAAATAAATAACTTATATATTTATAGCAATAAGATTGGGATCTCTCCTAGCTGGTAACTTTCCCTGGCCTGATCTTTACACTGTACTGTACTGTACTGTACTGTATTGTATTTACAATTGCGGGGGAAATAAAATAAAATTAGTTTTAGGATAAAAATTTTAAATGTTCAAATGTAAAAAGTGCCTCCACGTGTAATCCATCTGCCGAAGTCAAACATGTGAATAGAGTAATAATCCACGTTGTCCCCTGAGAAGTTCAGAATTCTGTACAATGAATTGAAACCTCAATGGTGAGAAACGGTGTTTGTTTTCTATAACGGATGATTAGAATGAAAATAAAAAATATGGTGTGTGACTTTACTTGTTGTACAAGTCTTCTTCACAAGAATAAACCGATTCAGAATACCAATCCGCTGTAAGAAATCTCGAGGTCGCCCTGAACATGTTACCCCAAAACTGTTCGTAACCAATTCTATTGGCAGAGTAAGGGATTATTTATTGTTAACTGAAAACTAACCTTTGTCTTATTTCTTCGTGATCAGTATCGACTGATTCAGAGCTGGAAACTACCTCGGGGAATTCTGGGCCTGTGTACCTGCGGATGCTTTCTAACGGTTAACTAATGGAGAAGGTTCCCAAATCTGCATTTACTCAATTTTATTTTCTGTCTTTTACTTCTAAATTTTTCTCTAAACTCACGGTCAATTTTAGAGAACAAAATAGTAGGTTTTCTAAACTATATTTTTTGACATGGTTTGATTATTTTTATTGTTTTGTATTTTGGTTTTCCTATTTTTTGAGAATCGAATAGTAAAATATGTGTGAGAGAATGTCTAGGAGGAAGAGAAAAGTTATCATGCGGTGGTTTGGTAGTTTAGTTTGAAAACGTTAGCTATAATTTTAACAACAATTTGGAAACTATACTATAAAGCAAGGAAAATAGTTAATAAATTAACATAGGTTGTAAGAAGTTTATTTATTTTCCAAAAAAATCGAAAAATATAAAAGTTTCTCATAATTTAAAAATTCATAAATGAAAAAAAAAAACTATATAGTTACTGAATTAATTTGAGCTATAAATTTGAAAGCAAGTGGGGGAACGAAGATATTAAAAATTAAAAATAAAAAAAAAATTATCAAACAACTCTATTTCTCAAAAATAAAACATAGATGAAATGGTTATTAGAAAATAAGGAAAAATTTTAATAAATAAATATTAACATACTTTTTAAATTTTGTTTACCATTTAAAAAGTAATTTTTAAGTTATCAAACAACATTATTTCTCAAAAACAAAAACAAATGATGAGGGCATTTAAAACCATTTTGATTTTAGTTTTTAAACTTCTAAAAATTATGCTTTTTCATACAATTTTATTAGAAGTTTTTCACATAACATAAAAATTACCTTTTTTCCTTTTTTCAAAATTTGGTACAGATTTTGAAAATGTTTACAAAAATTATATAATAAGACAAAAGAAGGCATGAAAAGAAAAACTAACATGGTTATTAAAAGTTGTAATGCAAACCTGCAATAGGTTGAGATTTGTGGCATTAATTCGAGGAGGCCGATGTTGTGTCCTCCAACTCCGAAAGATTCTTCATGCGAAAGTTGCTCCTGTTCCCCATCCCCTTCCTCCGCCGAAATGTCATTTTCCATTATAATATTGCTATCCGAAAGTGACCTTTTCATTGTCCTCCTGCAACCCCCAACCAAATAATAAGAAAGAAACCTTAAGCCATCCTTTCACAAATCATCCGTTATAGAAAACAAACACCGTTTGACACAAACCTCCATTTATTATGCTTGTCTGGATCCAGCACCAGTTTCCGTTTCTGAGGTGGAGGGTTCCCCAAGAACCTGCCAAATTAAAACACAACCCACATCAACTACTTTCCACTATTAAACCCAGATGGCTTCATTTTTTCTAGCTTAATTCTCAGAGTTGTGTTCAATTGGACTTTTATTTAAATTTCTTACAAATGTCTAATAAACTCCTAAACTTTTCAATTTTTTTGTCAAATAAATTTTTGAATTACTCACAAGTCAATGCCGTTCTGCTTCTCTTCGTCCATGTAGACATTGCTTACAAATCTTTGAACAGATTTAACAATGTCCACATACTCGATTGCTGGCTTCCACTGACCTCTTCTCTCAGAAAATATCTATTACAAGGAAACGTTCGACACAACAGAGATTAGTTGAAGTTAATGAACTTACCCACGAAATGTAAAAATGTATTGCCAAAGTTCTAATGATAAATTTTGTTTGCCCAGAGCTAGTAAAGTGGAAGTTAAAGAATGAATTTCTAGTTCTACGCACAAGAAATTAAGACAAAAATAATCAATTAATGAATCTCTGACCTGATCAGAGGGCTCAAGAGAATTACCTTATTGTGGGCAGGCGAACCACCATATTGCATCGCAAGTTTGTCGCCCATAATCTCATAAATATCCATCAAATGCCTTGCAATAGGGTCATCCAGATCAATATCTGAAGATTCTAAATACCCAAAAGTTTGAAGCTGTTGTCCTAAAGCGGCTAGCCCATAAGCATATTGAGCGATGTTGGTGCGATCCAAGCAGTCAAAGCAGTTCGTCCTGAGAACTCCTTTCTGAAACCTCTTTATTTTGACATCACATTTACCATTTGCATCATCGCTGCCATTGTTATTATTCTCGCTAATATTCACATTCCTGCATGAAAAGTTCACATGAGAAGATGAAAATTTAATCAATGCCCACAAGTTATTCATATATGCCCTGACAATTCGTTATGACATATACAAATTTTTAGCCCAAATTATTTAGGGGCTTATTCATATTTCTTCCTTACAAAATTTTGTGGATATTTGAGAGTTGATAAATATCACCCAAGTGACCAGCTTTGGACGCAAGCTAAACTAGAGAAGAACATATATAGATAGATATCTTGTTGTATTCTACTTACTCAAGGTAGGGCCGAGAAGAACCATCTGATGATGAATTCCTAGTCACTTGACAATAGAATGTGCCGTTCAAATCCAATGCTAATTTAGTCAAATCCTTTAGCTTTGACAACACGGTGGAAGCTTCGCTGCAAAAAGTTATTGTCGTTTGGTTTAAGGTTATACAGAATAAAATAATAAGATGATGTAGATATGAGGATGGGAGAGGAAAATAAAGACAACCTTCTTGAGTGCTGCTTGAGATCCCATTGAAGAAGCTTTAGACGATTCTCTTCTGAACATTCTGCATTGATGCATCCTATAGCATTTACATACTCTGCATGAAGCAGAGTTTCTCTAGGCTTCTTCTCTCGAGTCTGTGTAGTAATATTAACTATTTCTAAGTAATTTTCCAGAGGGTTGTCAACAGACGCATACAAAAAGGTGCAGTCACGTGAGAGGATAAACAGTACCTTAGTTAGATCCAAAATTATTATGGGGTTTCCATATCTGTCAGCAAGATTCTTGAAGTGAAGTTTTGTGGCTCCGTAGTCTCCTTGCTTCGGTACTGGAGGCAGAAAAGAAGTCAATAGAGTATACGGAGAAAGGATAGATGGAAAATAATAGTAAAACTTCAGAAGGTTTAAACAAGACAACGCATACTTATGACTACTGGATTGAATATTTTCAATAACGAAGTTTCCTGGGACCAGAAGACTGGAATCGAGCCTCGATTTTGCACGATGGAACTTATTTGCATTACTTGCCCTTCAAAAGTACTTTGACTAACAATTTGTTCTGTCTCAACATCATTTGCAACCTTACCCTTATCATTTACACCTCGTCTTAAAAATCTGAACAAGACAAAACAAAATGAGGAATCATTTCTGTAACGTCGTACGAGAAATACAACAATTAAATGATTATGAAAATATGGAAAATACTTGAATCATAGGAACAATATTCTTACCATCATTAAATATTCGACAATTAAGAGAGAGAAATACAAAAATATAAAAATAAAAAATAAAAATAGAATATAAATATTTTATAGTGGTAAGGACAAAGTTGCTCTTTGCTAGCAATGAGTCAAGTACTTTCAAAAAAATATTTCGCTCCTAGCTAGTAAAGAGGAACTTTATCTTTACCATCATTAAATATTTGACAATTAAAATATAAAAATATAAAAATAATAAAAATTTAAATAATAAATTGTCAAATATTTATTAGTCGTAGGACAACACCATTGATGGACCAAGTATTTTAATACACGAAAACAAAAAAATAAAATATTTGACTGCTTGTCAGGAGTAACTTTAAGTCACCGCTGTCAAATTTTACAACTCATTGTTTATAGAGGGTGACGAAAATAAGGGAGCGGGAGGGGCCACGTGAAAAGATATAAAGTTCAGGGTTTAGGAACATTAAATTGGTGCCATGTACGTGTGGGAAAGAACTTGGCTAGCCAGCTGCCGGCCAGTAAGATCTGGCCACGTGGACCATGGCCAGAACTTTATTTGCTTTTTCTTTTCTTTTCATTATGTACTTCTATTTTAGAGAGTCAGCAGCCAGTTCTTTCCACTTGTGTCCCAATTTGCTACGAACATGAAATGTCGCAAACAAGAATTCTTATGGAAAGAATCTACGGACCTGGTGCCGGCATAATGACGTGAACGCCGGGCTATGAGAGTCAAATCAAAGCCCCTGCCAGATATGGAAAGTTTAATCTGCATTGTCCGAACCATGAAACCATAAGTTTTTAAAAAAACGAATTTATACCAAGTTATCAACAATATAACAACGAATAGTGATATAGAGTAATAAATCAAAGATTAATTTGAATAGAATTCAAAAACATTCCTCTCAACAGAATATAAGATACATTTCAGTTGAGAAATTTGTAAGGTAAACAGAAATACTAGGGCAATTGACGTTCCCTTTCATATCTACTTATGGCAAAGCAACAGGAAAAATGCGCTTGCATACCTGTTTAAAGAAGCCGTACACTAAAGCAACTGTCCAGATATTGTTCTTGAGCTGCTTCCGGATCCCTCGAGTCAAAAATTCATTCCACACGAACATTGATTTATAAATATTTTGATCCATTTTATTTTTACTTAAGTTATCTTGAAGACTACGCATAACTTGATACGAGTAGCTGAAAAAGAAATCCTTGGTGAGATCCACCGAATTAAGAAGCTTCTGATATCTGCATTAAGAGGAGGAAACGAAAGATCAGTAACATCAAATTACGGGAAAAAGAACCTAGGATTTATCAATGATAGACTTATGTTCATCTAAGCCTCTAAAATGGTTTAAAAAAGAAAGAATCGCAAATTGGACCTACAGAGGAAAGAAACAAACCAACCACCCACCTTTTCTCCGTATTGCAATAAGCCTTTTTGGTCCGCACAACAGGATTTGGAATTATAACCATCCTGCTCTTTGAAATGCCGTATACTTTTGCCCCAAGCATAGAGCCCATATTCTTTCTCTCTGTTATAATCAGCATGTAATATGGTTCTAGAAACCGTATGAATCCTAAGTTGAGCCAAATAAAAAAAAACAAAAAAAATAAACATTGAGATGACAGCAAAAGGCAAACCACAGTCAAATATGAAACTTTGTAAAAGCGTAGACCTGAAATCTTACCAACTATTCCATAACCAATGGTGACTAATTTAAGGCCACCCATAGACCTGTTCCCCTGGTGTAATGTTTTCAGCAGATCAGAGCACTCTTCTGCCGTATAGGTTGTAGGATCTTCAAAAATGTTAAGCTCAGAAGGCTCCATTCTGTCAATTATTAGCACCTTCCACGAGGTTTTCTTCCTCCCTCTTCCCACTATGTAATAACGCTGTAGTTTTAAACAGTAATGTAGTATTAAAATCATCATATTCTGAAATCGGGTGACTAATTTTAATTTCTAACCATCTACAAGACAAGGCATTTGATGAAATCAGCAGACAACAGAAGATTCACGGTTCTCAACCACAAGACATTACATTCCATATATGCGTCCAAAGACTCATATTATTCTCTGGACGCATATATGAAACTTTTAAGAATGTGGAGGACAATTTTAGCCATATATGTATTTCAATGAACAAGAATTTCATTAACCAGAAACAGTAACAGCAAGCAGCAGCAGCACTGGGAAGGAAACAACAGAACAGAGAAGGAGAATAGGCTTTTGCAACTAAAAAGCCTTAGTAAAACTTAAAAACTTGGAACTGATATCGTTAAAGAGATAATCACGTATAGGTCAATAATAGAAACCGATATTCATTGATTCTGGCAGTATTTCCAATCCTTTTACTGCATACAAGTTTCTGTCTAAGAAAGCATATAAATTCTGGAGTTAAATTTATTATCAGGCAATCGCTTATTCTTATCAGGCATTTACTCCATACAATCTCTAGTTTAAATTCCTTCAGCAAATAAATACAGGAAGAATCACATTTAAAACTCACTTCAAGCAGCAATAGAAAACGAATCTATTTCTGTTTCATTCAAGTCGCATACGGATGGCTTGATCGGTAATTGTCGAATACAAACTCACTCTCGGATAAAGAAAAACTTGATTACTCCACATACATCAGAAGAACAATTAATTAAGGTCCAAACACATCACAAACACCTAACGCATTAAATTTTCAAATTCTTTTTTCAATCAATGCAACTCAACAGGAAGAACTCCATGCTTCAATAACACAATGCAGCATTCCAAAACATAGCAACACAAAGCACAAAAACGCTACGCACAGACATTGAATTGAAACAGCGATGCGATTTGAAACAAACCAGAGCAAGTTTGCAACAGTAAAAAGATAAGTAAGATCATTATACCGCAAATGTCTGGTAGAGCCAGAATTTCTGAACGTCGTCGAATGTGATGGAGTCCGACGATTCCATTAATCCTGTTTTCGTACGGCTCGAGAGTTCAATCCGGTAAACAAGCTTAGCTTGAACGCAAGGAGATACCGCCGATGAACGTAAAAATTCGAGAATCACAAAGTTCTTATGTAGCTTCTCTGCAATTCCTGCAATGTACAAAACCTTTAAACCTTCCCGCCACGAAATGCGATCGCGTTAACGACAAGATACGGAGGAAGAAGACGAGAACAATATGCATCTCAATGCGCAAACGATTTTGTAAACACAGAGAATGTGATCGATCAAAGGAACTCGAAAATTGAGACGGAGAAGGAAAATTGCAGTAGATAACGCAGAGAAAAACCTACGAAAAACAGCATGGAAAGAATCGTGTGGTTTTTACACTCACCATTCAAACCGCGGGAACTAAGCTTTCTGATTCTTATTTTGATTCGTTTTTTTTTTTTGTTAATATATATTATCTTATTTTATTTAAGTGGAATTTCCTAATTTGGTTCGGTTTAGTAGCGCCGGTTTCCCATTGAAATTCGAATTTCCACGGTTTATTTAAAAGATAGATTTAGTTTTTATTTTGATTAGTCGGAAATATAAAATCAATCTAATTTTTTTCTAGTAGTTAGAAGATAATTTTAAAAAAAATCATACTATCTCCCTTAATATATTCTCAAATATTTAAGTTTGTTATGAGACGAAGTCATTTGGCCAACTAATTTCTCATTATTCAACGGAGTTCCTTGGTCAATCACTTATAATTTTGGAGGTCTTTTTTTATTTATGTATTTTCTATATACAAGTCTTGTTTTTTATATGATAGAGAAGTAAACAGATTTTTAATTTTGATCATGTTTGCAATTGGTTTGATAATGATTTTATTTTTCTATTTTCTATTTTAAAATTTGTTTACTAAAAAAAATTTTTTTGGTTAAATAATCCTCCTATGATTTTAAAAAATTAACTAAACATTTTTAAATGATTGACTATACTTCCAAATCGGTTTTAACAGCGAAAATCTAAACAAACTTCAAATTTTAAAACAGTGAATGAAAAACTTTATCAAATAGAGCATTAATAATAATTTTTATATGATTCGAATTTTATAGATTAAATAGTAGATTGAATGATCATGAGTAGATTTCTTCTTTTTTAATTACAGTAAATTTGCACCATTCTCATTTAACAAATGTGTTATTAGATAAATTTAAAAGACTATTTACATTTGATGATAGGTAAATAGATATCTTGATCAGTTAAACTATATTCATATTGTTGAAAAATATACGTCTTTTAGTTTTGGATTAAAAATTAACAGACTTGTGACAGGAATCCTACTTTATTTTTAGAGTATTACAGATACAATTTGAATAATAGAGATTGAAACCAAGAAATTCCTAATGTATTCTTTTTAAAATAAAATTATTAAAGCATTAACTAATCAACCTTTCCCTCGAACAAATAATAATAAAAAGAGGATAAAAAAGTCTGATTTATGTTGGCCTAGCCTTATATGTAATTGCTTAAAACTTTTTTATTGGTAAAATTCAAATTAAAATAAAATTTATATTCAAAGAAGAATCAGTGATTACATCAAGATATATTAATAGATATCCTATTAAATTTCACTTAATCTTACCCAAATAAAAATCGTGGAAAGTCAATCTGCTGGAAGATATTGAAGAATGTTTACTTGGTGGGGCCCATTATATAAACATTAATAATTCATTATTTTCTAAATCATTTTAACAGCATATTAATTAGCTCATGAAAAATCTCAGTTAAAAAATTAGCACATAAAACATGAGAGTTGACCCATACAATCATAAAATTTCATTATTCAAAAAGTTAAAAATTTAGAAATGAAAACTTGATGCACTTTGATAGATATATTAAAAAAAAAAATGGGTATATTTATTTTATAATTTCAACTACCTAAATGTTTACTTTAATATTTTTAATTTTATTTTTTTCTTAAGATAATATTTTTAGATTTCAATATATAATTGGATTTATATATAATTGTGAATTGAATCTAAATAGGTATATTCAAAGAAAAAAATCTTAATAGTTATGATTTACATCAATAAATTTTAAATAATTATTTTAAAAAGACTCTTCCTAAAAACAGTACAAAAAAATAATTCTAGAAAAAATTAAAGATGAGAGATGTCAATTTCTTCAACAGATGGAGAATCCCAAAGTCAATGGGAGTCGAAAGAAATATTTCTTGGCGCCTACCCCTAGGCCTCGCCGTAATAAATTTTTAAATCAATTTATTAAATATTATATAAAATTAATAATACTAAATATTCTAAATTTTAATTTAAAAATAAGTATTTCAAAATTATTTAACATGGAAAAAAAACTGCCACTAGGCCCCGCATGGGGGAATTCCGCGCCCTCGCACATCTATAAATTGATTAATATAATATTTAATTGTTTCTTTTTACAATATAAATTTGTTGACGATGATGCCTTCCAAATTTAAAATTTCACTCATTTAAAAGAAACAAAATATATCTATTTTCAAGCGGGTTTTTTTCAAAATGTTTTAAGAGGGAATGAATATACCTAAATAAACATGAAATCAAATTGCAGATGTAGCGTAGGTATGCCTCCAGAGTATTATAGCTCACCAAGAGAAGTGAAAAGATTTTATTCCAAACCGATCCTTCAGTGAAACCTGTAAAAACTGTGCATTCCCACAACTGGGTGTGGTTGTGAATAGAGAAAGAACAAAGATCTGATCTTCCCTCTATTTTTTTTTTATCCTGTTGCCCATTAACAATCAAACAATACTTCCCTACTGACTCGTAGGAAATTTCTGCTACCAACCACTAAAAAAAGTCTCTCTTCTCTCTTACGCTCTCTCCCACTGGTTAACAATTTAGTGGTGAGGAGCAGAATTATAGCTGCCGAGTCAGTAGAGAAGTATTGTCGTTAATGGTGGCAGTCATGAAAACCTGCATGTAAAATCCAGAAACTTCTGCAGAAGAAAAACTACCTTATTTTTTCACAGATTTATATATGATATTTGTCAACAATAATTCACAAATAGGGAGATGAAAGAGACTCACTCCTATATCTGCAACTGTTAATTTGGAGATCCAATGGAAAATATATATATCCCTAAACATATTTACAATGTGAAAACTATGAGAATTAAGAACCTGGAGTTATTTTTTGTGTGGCTCCACAGAGTTAGCGCTTGATACTTATTCATTCTTCTACTTCCTGCTTTCTTTTGCCTCTTATGGCAGAGGTCTACAGTCAGAAAATGGCTGCTACTCACAGATCACCTGAGATTAAACTCCAACAAAAATTTCTGCACAATAGCAACTATTGATCTCTCCCTCTCTCCCTCTCTCTCTCTCTCTCCACAGATATCTTACCGTCCTTTATTTACCGCCTCGAGCTGTCCCATGTAGTGTCATCTTTTCACTTTTGGCTACAGAAGCTACATCCTTCGGATGTAGTTAATCAGATGAAAGAAGTCAATGTTGATTAGTAACTTTGAGTAAGCTTCACCAGAAGAGCATCCCACCGTGGCTGACCCAGTCGACGAAGTGATCGGAGTAATCGGAGACAATATCGTCACGACTAAGGTCAGTTCCAGACCTATCTTTTACCTGAAGCACAAAACAGAACAAATTAACTAATCAGTCGATGCTTTTTTATCAAGTTGCTTGCAAGAACAAGAAAGGGTTAAAAGTCGTTACTTATATTTTGCAATATGTCATGATAAAATCATAGGGAAAGTTGAGATATCAATCCATCAATCATTAAAAGAAGAAAAATGAAAGAAATACAATGAGTCAGGATTTGAGTTTAGTGAGGATAGGAAGATATAGGAACTCCAGACTAATGCTGAATCTGAACTGCACAATTTATTGAATTTTCTGAATAAACACATTGAGGCTTTCTTCACCAGAGGGAGCAAAGATTTTCTTATGTTCGATTGGAGCGAATTGTAAGAGTGAATTTGGTGAATTTGATTGCAATCCTCTCACAAAGACATTAAGAATTGATATTTCAAGAACCAAACAAGTGAAACAAAATAAACTACTGACCTTTGAGCTTGATCCAGACTCACTTGCAGATGAGATAAAATCAATCTTAATCTCACTCGCAACATTTTCCGATGAAAGACTGGTGATAGACCTATAAATCATGCAATCAATAATCAGTTTACACAGTTATAGTTTAGGACAGGTAGGCTTAAGACAATTGATAGGTGGGAAAAGCAATAGAAGGCAAAAGAAAAACCAGCAAAAAATCTAGGATGATTTAGTTCTTTGCCAGATTATTCATTATTCCTTCTCTTTAAGGTATAAGTTCACACATCACAGGGTCAGAAATTGAGTTCTTCCAAGGGAAATGAAGCGTTCAAATATTAGCAAGGCAAACAGAAATACCTTGCACATAACTCATCTTCACAAGAATTCCCAGATGAAGAAATCCAATCCATATCCAGAAAATTAGAGCAGCTGCATGAATCCCCATGTTCATCATGACAAATATGATCATCTTCAAGCATTTGGTCATCCTGCATGTTTCCATGAAGTGGCCTGCTACACATAGAGGGAGTGTACCTATAGCAAAGACCAAAACGTTTCGAGCATCCTTCGGTGAAAAGTGACAATAAATCATACGATAGTCGAGGAGAAGAACTGTGATGTTGACAGACCTGCAAAGAGATATATCAGATTCGCAAGTTGAGACCTCAGGTGCAGACTCTGAGAAACCTTTATTACATCCTTCGTTCAAATGCGGAAACGGTCCGCGGCTTCCGTCGTGTATGTTCACCATATCAGACTCCTCACTCTGGCCAAGTATATTGCCATCTGATAGTGATCTTTTAAAAGATGTCCTTCAGGAGGGTGAAAATTTCCATGTAAATATTCCAATTACCATTCAACTCTTTAACCAAGTATAACAGAGATTGCATGAAGATATCTATCAAATTCAGAGAACATAAAATACGTACCTGAAATTCTCATCAATAAGATCAGGAGAGCGCTTCCCAAGATCATAATGTTGGTCAGAGTCTAATTCCCACAATGCTGGCTTTCCCTGCTGTGGCTGATAGTAACCTAAGAACCTGAACAAATACAATGTCAAACAGTGTCAGCTATTTCTTCCAAGTTCACAATTTGTCGAACTTGGGAACATTAGGAATTTCTGACTTACACATTAATGGCACGTTGCTTCTCAGCATCGAGGTACGCGTTGCTGCAATAACGTTGCAGTGTTCTGAAAAACTCCTGGGACTGAGTTGCAGCTTTCCATTGACCTCTCCTCTCAGAAAATATCTGTTGAAAATAATATATGAAAATTACCACTCGTACCTGCTTTTTAATCTAGAGGTTCGAGGTTCTGGGTTCAAGTCTCTATTGTATCACTTTTTTTTTATATCAAAAAATATATATATATGGATAATGGCCAAAGGTCATGCACACGCAAGAAAAGGAATAGGAATAGGACGTCCTAAAATCCATTTAGTAGAGACTAATAAAACTCAAAATGCTGAACTACACAACTTGCTGAAGAAAGTGACATAATAGATGCGTAACTAAGAATCCTCGTTCTATTTAACTATTAATTTTTTGGAAGTACCTTATTATGTGCGGCAGAGCCGCCATATTGTAGTGCGAGGGTGTCGCCCATGTTCTCGTAGGCCCGCATCAGATCCTCCGCCAAAGGGTTGTCCAGATCCATTTTTGGGGAATCAGTAAACCCTAAAGTGTGCAATTGACGTCCTAAAGCAACTAGCCCATAGGCATATTGGGCAACATTCGTCCGGTCTAAACAATCTATACAATTGGTCCTTAGGACACCGTTCTGAAACGTTGCAACTGGATGATTTTCAAGTATACTATTAGCATACGCCCTATTACTAACATCTTTTTCCGGATTTTCTTCATTTTCTTCTTCTGTAGACATATTCTCCATGGAAGAATCAGTACCCTCATTTTTCCTGATGCATTGAAACATGGGCAATATTGGTCAAACATATTATGAAAATGAGGTAAGTACGAGGAAATAAGTTCTTTTTTTTTTATAAGAAACTGCAACAATATATTCAAAAGAATCCTAGAGAAGAGGAAAGACAACCAAAAGGATGGAGATCACCCTTCCCAAAGCTATACAATCACAATTTTCAAATTCAAATCCTTTGCTGAATTTCTTGTGGGTTTAAAAACACCCCCCAAAACTTTCCACAATGAAGTTATCAATTTTTTGAGGGAGGTAGAGAGAAATACCCAACTCATAAGACAAAAGGAAATAAGTTTCATGCACCTAATAAACCACAATCTGTAAAACTTACTTAAAGCAGGTCCAGCTTAACAACTCCTCTGAGCTTAAATTGGACGCTATTTGACAGTAGAAGATGCCAGTTAAGTTCAATGCATATGTAGCAACCCTTCCAAGCTGCATCAAAACATTGGAAGCTTTGCTGCAGAAAGATTTTTCATATACATCACAATCACAGATAATTAAGCCATTTCAATAGAATAACGTTATTACCAAGTGCAAAATGGCTAAAATACCTTTTAGCATGTTTGTTCAAATCCCAATGGAGAAATCTTAGGCGGCTCTCTGTGGATAAACTTTTATTTATACATCTTATAGCATTTGCAAACTCAGCACGGAGGATGCCTTCTCGTGGCTTTTTCTCACGCGTCTATTTCACGAATGATTTTAATTACAATACAACGAGGAAATAGATTAAAACTCTTGAACAAAAAGAAGGCAAAGGATTGAATAATAAAGAGGAAGTTAGAAGAAGATTATTAACACGAAGGGAATACCTTAATCAAATTCAATATAATTATAGGATTCCCATATCTCGTAACAAGATTCTCAAAATGTAGTCTTGTGGCGTCGTAATTATGGTCCTTCTTTGACACTGGAAGAAGAAAGAAATTGAAGCGAGAGATTAGAGAAGTTACCAATAAAAGAATACAACATAAACAAGGTATGACTATGATCTTACATATGATATCAGGTCTAATATTCAGCCGTGAGGTTTCCTGGGACCAAAATAGGGGGATCGAACCCCGATTCTGCACCACTGAACTTATTTGAGTTGGTCGCCCATCAGAATCATCTTCAAAAACAATCTGTTCTGTCTCAACATCATTAGCTACTCTTCCCTTCTCGTTAACACCTCTTTTTAGAAATCTTCACAAAGAAAGAAAACAACAAAATTTAATATGGGTTGCAGGAAGATGTACATACGGAGTTCCATATAATAGCCTAAAAGACAATTGAATATTCAGGAGAGAATAAGCAATAGATAAATCAAATGATCTATGTGATCAAGATATTAGATGAATCCTGCGTGGGTGGACATGCACAACACAAGCATTGTAGTTAGATTATGTTCATAACTCATAAGTCAAATATGAACAATACCATGAATGCAATAGTATATACCTTGTGCCAGCATAATGACGGGATCGTCTAGCAATGAGTGTCAATTTGAAATCCCTGCCAGACAAAGAAAGATCGACCTGGACAAGCACAGCATAAAGAATTTATTGTCTAATAAAATCTGACAATGTACTAAAATGCAATAAAACCTGGACAAGAGCTGGATAGAGAATGTACTATTGACTTAACAAAGAGCCATATCCAATCAAGAAGAGAAAAAGAAACATGAAAAGAAAAATGCAATAACAAAAAAAAACATAAAACTTAAAAGATTCAGTAAGAGACGAACACAATTATAAACTAAAAGTCCCTCTCCATAACAAGTGAAAGCAAATACATTTTACTTATGCAAAGTATCTATTAGTGAGCAAAACCTATTAATCGTGAAACCATACCTGTTTAAAGAAACCATACACTAAGGCAACAGTCCACATGGTATTCTTGAGAATGTTCCGGATTCCACGAGTTAAAAACTCGTTCCAGACAAACATTGTATCATAAAGTAAATGTCCTGTCTTATTATCACAAATGTTCTTTTGAAGGCAACGCATGACATTGTATGAGTAGCTGAAAAAGAAGTCTTTCCTAAGATCCACTGTGCGTAACAGCTTCTTGTATCTAAAATCAATAAGAAGGAGACAACAAGAAACATATTAGCATCAAATTAACAAAATAAATTATAAATTTGAGGACAGAGAAAATAGGAAAGATGAAAACTTATTTAAAATGCTAAACCACAAAGGAGGAAGGAAAGTAACTTCCCCCTCTCAAATCATACTACCTTGTGTTATTCGACAAGTTATACAAACATCACATCCTGGTACAACTGGGAGGTAATACCTTTTATGTGGAAACTTCTAAATAGAAGGATATATAACTATATTCAAACTGCTAACTTAAAATACGAAAGATCCAAGTTTTGCTCCAAAATAAGAGGGGAAAGGAAAGAGAAACCATAGAACAGAGAAATATGACATCATCTGTACAAGAACTTGAATCAATAACTTTACACCGAAGGGTGTATTAACAAAATAGACTACAGATATTTTACCTCCACGGTGTAGAACGCAACTATTCCTAACAAATGACAAATAAGAAAAATTATTTCCAAAAGTTCAATTGTCATCGCAGTAACATATGACAACAAAAACCTCATTAAGGTACATATGGACACTATTTCTGAAAGCTACCCCTTAGGTCTCCTTAAGTACCAAGGACATATTACATTTACATGAAAAATGGACTAAAGACCTGTTTTCATCCTTAGAAATAGCCAAATTGGACCGTGCAGTAGCATTTGGAATTGGAATCATTTCGCTCTTCGTAATTGCATAAATTGCATGGCCGCAAATGGTACCAATCTTTCTTCTCCTTGTTATCAGTAACATGTAATGAGGCCCTAAAAATTTGATGATACCTGTAACGGGAAAACCATGAGTTCTGAAGAAAGAAGTGCGAAAAATGTGCATAAACAAACACATGTCAATAACATACCAACAATTCCGTAACAAGTGGTCACAAATTTAAGCCCACCCGTCAACTTGTTTCCTTCATGAATCCGCTTCAGCAAGTCAAAGCACTCATTATCTGTGTATGTTGTAGAATCTTCAAGAATGTTTAGATCGCTAGGTTCCAGTCTGCTGATCTTTAACACCCTCCAGAAGGTTCGGTTCTTGTCTCTTCCAATCATATAAAAGTTCTGTTACACCAAAAGGTATGTGATTATGGCAAGCATTTTGTAGAATAAGATTAGAGAGTAAACTAAAGAAACCAGCAATGATATCTCAAAAACCCATAATTTAGAGAAACGTGTTAGAATCCTATAATCTCAAAATCTTTCTAAAAGAACCAATGCACACAAGCAAATCTTTGAGCAGGTCTACATAAGTTCAGATTGGGAAAAGAACCAAAGTCTTGTTCCAATTGAAGACAGCACATCTTCTGAAGATGCCGGTTTCCTCCTCTGCTGGGATACTCAGACTCTACAATCACATAAATCTGTGCTCGAAGAGGCAAACAGATCCATTTCGAATACCCATGAGAAAAACGAAACGGAAATCGCCGGAGTCGAAACAACAAATCAAGAATACAAATCAAGCTCAATCATAACCAACTTGATTGATAGATTCGGAACTTCAAAAACTCACGGAAACGAACCTAGAGATGGTACAGAATCAGATTAAAGATTCAAGTAAGCGCGTTTTCTTCAAGTAAGATATTTACCGAACGAGTCTCGTATAGCCTGAATTTCTGCAAGCAGTGAGAATTGGGATCGGGTTTGTCATGAATCCAGCTTTGTTGGTCAGTCTCCGCGCCCATGGTGTGGATCTCCGAGCCTCAAGGCCCGGCGTCACCACCAAAAACCAAACTCTCAGCCACGCAAGACTCAAATTCACAGCAAGCTCCCTCGCTGCACAGAAATCCCCAAAAACCTCAATCAACAAAGCACTCCACACGCATCTACACTCGCAAAACGAAAGCTACAGAGAAAATGCTCGTAGAGCAGAGCCCATGGAATCAGCAGAAAAAATCAAATGAGAAAACAGAAGGAGGAAGAAGCGGAGAAATGAGGCAGCAGAACAAGTACAAGGAATCAAAGCGGTAATGAAAGAACGAAGATTGAGCAGCTTTTTGAAGAAATCAGTTCAGATCGTACTCGTATGGGGAAGCGGAGAAGAAGGAGGAGGAGGAGGAACAAAGGGCAGAGCAGAGGAGGCAGCAGAAAAACGGCAGAACACAGCTTCGAAGACTGTATCCACACAAATTATAGAAATAATAATAATAATGATAAGAGAGAAAAGAGAGAGAGAAACATAAATTTTGGGGGGTTTTATTTTTCTTCCTTTTCAGTAAAATAAATTGTAAAATCGTAATTAATTCGCCGTTATACTAATTATAGGCCGCCCAATCATTGCGTTCTTTCTGGAAACATTTCCATTGGTGGGTAACTCAACCAGTGACTCGGCCGAGCCACTGAGTGCACTCGGACGAGTTTTGTCGGGTTGCGATAGCCCAATTAACCCGACTAAAAATGATTTAGGGCTCACGTTTTAAAGCCAGGGATTTTTTTCTTTTCTTTTCTTTTTTATTGCTCCGTTTGTTAGGGGTATTTTGTCTTTTTCATTTATGGCAATTATTTATCCTTTTCCACCCATTGCGTGGAGGAATGTCCTCATAATTCACTCACAAAAATTTTTTATAAAATGGTCAATAATTTAATTAACAATTAAGAAAAAAAAAAGAGAATAAATAAACATATTATATTTAAAACACTCCTTGAGAAGTGAAAAGCGAATATGCCTATGTGCCTTCCGTTGCCCACCTTGC